CCAAATTATCACTTTTTGGACTTTACCTTAACTGATTTCAGGTGCTTTGTTGTCTTTTTTAAAAATTTTTCTGACGAGGCATCTAGACATACTTAGCAAATCGGGACTATTTATTTATTTATTTATTTCAAATGGTAGGCGTTTTGATAGTTATCGATAGCCCTTTAGGTGACTTCGGGCTTCACAGAGGGGAAGGAGGAACATCGAAATGAGAAAACAGTGGAGAGGGAGAAGAGTGATTCAACGATGCAAAAGACAGAGAAAAGGTAAGATGTGTACTGTGGAAAGCTGTTAAACCAAAAATGAGAATTTAGTAACTTAATCAAAGCAGATATGCGATTTGAGTTAGGTACGAATTAACGCCACAAGTAAATGTATGATAATAAGTTGTACTAAGGCATTTTGCAAACAGTGCATTTGCCATTCAGTCTTAGAAACGTAATGCAGCAATAAGTAGACTCGATGAGTCAGAAGTAATCTTCCTCCATAAATTATGGAAAACAAACAACTCCAAGTTAATTAATAGTACTCAAGCCCTTTCAATTCCCAAATCAAAAGTAGCAGTCGAAGGCATCCTATTAGCAACGGAAACAACTCCCCTTGTCTTGACATTTTGACATGCCTTTATATGCAGTTTTGATAATAAATGCAGCAGTAATTTAACACGTCACCAGATGTTTTTTGCACGCGTGAAACAGTGCGAATAATTGCTCCTTACACAATGGCAGTTTCTAAGCCAATCGTATGTGTTGAGATCGGCTAGTATTGCCATTCATGTTATGGAAGATTCTTTGGAATGACGAATGTGACGACACTTTGACCGGGCAGAATTTTTTTAACAAAAAGAAAGTAAATGCGTTGAGTCGTATCAGGATGCTTCAAATATGAGATCAAGGGGTTAGCAAACGTAAAATTCTCGAGATGCATTGATTATAGTATAGTGCATTTCAATAAATTTAAATGATCAGCCTTAATGACATAGACAGCAGTATCTGAACGTATTTGCCAATTATCACCCAAAGACATCAACGTCACCTACTGGAAAAACAGAGAGCAAATTTAGTAACAAAAGAACAAACAATCCTTAAAATTTTTGATACAATTCGAACGTCATAAATGGTATTGACTAAAATGGAGAGAATTTTTTGTGCATTAGTACATCAATTTGGAAGTAAAATGTAGGAGTTCATAGCTTCTACTGACAAAGAATGCGAATTACTAGCAAAAAGTAAAATGCCATGCAAATAATTAGATTGTGAAATATTAAAACAATCAACATATAAATTTGGACGATCTTTAGCTCACAGCAGAGTCATAACTTAGCCAATTAACCAATAAAAAGGCTCCAATCTTTTATTAATCACAATAATGGCGATGATATTATTATTTTATGATCTAATCTGGGAAGAATGTATTTCCATTTATTATACCAATGTTATGTGGCCTATAGTGCGAGTTGTGCCATTGTAGGTGTGTGGTATCTTACACTGTGTCTTGTCCGTTGGCATATCTAGACTCTTTTAGCCTGGCATGTGTTAAAAGAGGGGTAACTAAAGTGTATGTGGTGTCAAGGCATATGAAGCAACATGATATTGTATACAGACATCCTGGTACGTCTATCTTTATCAAGTCACAGTGATGAGACTTAACAACCCATTCAGGAAATGGAATGACAAGCAGCGTTTTAACATAGATGAGAAGAAGAGAGACTGCGGACATACTTACACCAATGAAATACACCCATTAGCCTGTATTTTAAGGGGTAGACTAATAACTGTCGAAGGTATAATCGTCAGTTCCGAATGTTGAGCCACCCTAACCCCTCAGTGATAACTTACAACACAAAGCCCTTTATCTATGTGCGAAACACCAAGCGTGTCGCAATCACAGTCCCATATTGAGAAAAAGAGCAGTGACAATTACGGAGAGATTGGCACTCCTTTTCAACTTTGTGCCTCTTAATGCTGAGTGAGCCACATATCGTTCATATACTTGTGAACTTTTATATTCTTGCACTCCATAAAAGCTGCAAACTTAGACAACGCCTCCTGTCCCACTTAAGCAACAAAGTAAAACACAAGGCAAGCTCAAGATAAGCCTACTAGCCCAATTAATCAAAATTAATTTTCTGCAAGGTAAATCATAGATGGTGTTAAATGTACAGGACAAAATTGTACACAAGTAGTAGATAATGCAATATTACGTACAAATTTTGTTCAAACACGAAAAATGAATGCTAATTATCTACAGGAATAAAGTATTTACTTCGGCACTAGTCGCCAAAAAAACAAAACGCCAGTGTCGATAGAAGAAGAATTAATCCGAAAAAAGAGGAAATCGAGTTCATTTAAGTCAGAAAAATGAATGATTGGCTCACGCCTTGAGGAAGACAAACACATCATGCGGCCATTCAAGTGTCAATAACTTTTGCAGTAGGATGCGGCTTGCCATAGGAGAAAGGCATGTATCGATGAGTTATCATGTGCTACAATAAACAAATGTTACTCAAGCGTTATAAGTAGACATTTAAACAGAAACTTCAGAAACCAAACACAACTAAGTTAAAGAATAAAGCAGAAAGGGAAAAGAAATAAAGCTAAGTCTACACCACAGACTATTTAATACAGAAGGACAAAGTAAAATTAATAATTTTGCACCATGAGATGCCAGTATTGTAGTTACATGAACAAAGACAATGTTGAAAATCACTTACCACAAATAGTGACAGTATGAACGCAAGTAAACATTCAAAAATAAATTTGTTTTTGATTCCACAACAACCTCCAACCCTCTCATTTAGATTTTTAAAATTGCAGATAAATAACCTGCAGTTATTAAATGGCAGACTCAGTGCCCTATTTACTCATTAAGTAACGCAACCCGATTAGATAAATTTGGTCATAAATTAACGTTTATTTCTTACTAAAATTAATTCATCGCGAGTAGACACAATGCTCATTAGCTCTTATACATAACCAGTGGTAATTATGCTATTACAAAAATACGCAGGTCTGGTAGAATGGACCAAGGCCTATAGATCATTTAAAGTTAAAACACCAACGATTTTGCTGAAAACACTAAAGTCTTTAAAGTTTGTTTAAGGCCATAACTAACCAATGGAATCCAATCAACTAACACATGGTACTACAACAGTGTAAGGTACCTATAAAGAGAAATGAATGGAGGGGTAATAATTTATAAAACTGAAAGTCGACAAATTTATAAACAGGCATGAAAAGTAAAGTTACTTTCGCTTAATGTTAAAGAAACGGAAGTGGATTCTTTTTAGCCTAGCACATACTAGATTAACACTTAATCAATGGCTGCAGGAACTATAATAATAATAACCATAATTTATAGCTGTTGAACTAAAATCGATTATTTAATTATCTCATTAACACTAAAGGGAGATATTAGATTAGAATACCAACGAGAGGTACAATCGCTTAATGGAGTCTGCTGATCGATTAGGTCTCAGGGATGGCTATAGAGACATTAAAATGGAAGGGTATTCTACGAAATTATTACAATGAAAACAATATCTTATGACGAAATATCAATCTGAAGAAACAAGATGGAGAAATTTCCTAATTTTATTTCCTTCTTTACCTATTTGAATTATTTTGTAGTTCCTAGTGGTTAGACATTTGTTTGTGAATGAAAATATTTAATTTTACAACAAGTGGAGTAAGATTCTGAGGGAGTAAATGTATAGTAATGTTACTGTGAGGTAAAGATTTATAACAAATTCTAAATACAAGTGACTGATTTGAGAACGAATTTAAGGTCAACGTACAATCACTCAAATTTATGTGTGGGGTTCATTAAATCAATCAAACGCTTGTTTGTCAGTATTACTTTAAGTGATCAATGACCCACGAGACGTTACTTCCACCAATTTTTCATCAACAAAGGATCAAAAGCTGTATATTTCACATTTATTAACTATACATCATATACTAACGTGCAAACGTCTTTCTTTGGAGTTTTAAATAGCAAATTAGAACTAACAGTTCACATTAACAAGGTAAACAGGGTGTTTAAAGGAAATAATGAAACAAATTTTAGCATAACTAATTGAGAGCCTAGATGGTCTTCCGTAGTAAATTCACTAACAACTTTTAAAGTCGAAAAGGTCAACGATGAATGTGCATAATCATCTGACTAAGAAACACTACGACAATTACTATATTAAATCAACGATTCAAGGCCGCGTTAGACTGAGAATTGAGCTAATGGTAACTCATCATTTCAATTCGCACATATCATAAAATAACATTAAAAAACAAATACATACCTTTATTTGTCTCTTCATCATAACGGTAAAGAGAAGAATGAAATAGATGACAAGGATGGGCCAAAAGACTGGAACGTCGAGAAAAGAAAAAAAGGTACAAACGATGCTTATAAAGATTGCTCTTGTCGCTCGATGCCTAAAGCGAAAATAACAAATTTAAGCAAACGAGAAATATTTATAAAGATAGTTCTCACAAATTGACAATTACCAGAACTTTGCCTCAAGTAAACGTGGGATAAATGGTCGAAATTCATCAGCCTCAGTTCTGGGAAGTGTCGGAGCTTCATCTATAACCAGATTAATCATAGTGCTAAATTTACCGAGCAAATCAGCAAATTCAGGATCCACTTGGGGAGTAATGGAATGAATAAACAATCCTAATATGTATATGGCGAGGGCATAGCTGATTATATGAAAGCCCTGTACAAAATAAATCCGCAAAATGTATAAAGACAAAAGTATAAGAGTAATGAGCCATCTTGTCTTTGTGAAGGGGCTTAGTTTGTCGATAGCTGATTGATATCTCTGAAGGAAATTAAACAGGCTTATAAATGTATTACAATCTGTAACGGCTTGAAAAATTTTTCACATTTCGATTCATCACTGTCGGGAGGTGCTTCATTTATCAAGTCCATCATAGCAGTCGCCAGGCCAACACAAGAGACCTTAAATTTGGCGGAATTGCCTTCAATGAAATCATTAGTATAATGGAAATAAACTTGTAAATAGAATTAAATTTTTATTTTAAAATCAAAATTATTTGTCAAAATTAATTAATTTCTGATGGTAAATATTATAGTTTTGGAAATATCCGGACTGAACCTCTAGTTTTAAGCATGCAAGCAGGTGCATTTTCAGCCAGATAAGCACCATGTGTGATACTTTTGCGAATGTTGCGAATCATTTTGTAGAAAAGTATTTTGGTAAACATTGTTCCATAATTTTGCGTCAGCTAGAAAATTATGGGCCGATTGGTTTAACAACACTGGTGCGTCACTGTTCGGGACAAATTCCTAATTCTAAGGTAATACTCAATTTCACACCAGCATCTCTCAGGTTCCCACGTGTGTTAAAATTTTATTGAGGCACAATATTTTAAAAATAAGTCCTGGGTTACCTTCCGTTTTTACAATAAATTATGATGGTGTTCGTCTTGTGTCCAAAATACCAATTCTTTGTGAAATTGGTGCAAATTTTTATGGCAAACGAGCTGAGAACTTGATCCTACCAACGTTGCTTTTCGGTATGGTCAAATGCTCAAAAATGCTTCGTTTCGCTCTTATTCGTTCTGCAACAGGTAATGTTTTATATCTTTTTATTACTTTCTACTAGGCAATCTCAATAAGCTGGCGGAAGAAATAGTTGATACTTTGATTTTGCTAGTGGAATCTGGTGCTCTTCTCGCTTTCACGAAGTCAGTTCTACTGCATTCCCCAGAGGAAGCTGTTCAATATCAGCGCTTTACATTGTCAAGGAAAGATCTTCTGGGTAAATAGTAGTTGTTTTTTCGTTCTTTCCTTCCCAGTCTCATTTGACTATCATATTTTTAAATTTTGTCCAGCAAACCTTGAAAAATTTATTTCTGTTGGTGCTGAAGCCAAGAATATACATCGTTTTTTGCCGGTAAGTTAGTTTTGTATTACTCTTAGTGTTTCATATAGCCACGAATGTGTGGCCAATCGGTTTATTTACCTAGGTATTTACAAACTGAACGACGAATTATTGTACATTTTCATATAATACCTGTCACAGATAAGTATTTCATGTGTAATATGACAAGTAGTTGGTGTGGCGGTAACATTTGCTTCTTTCAAATTCATTTTTGAGTTTTCAAGTGTTATTTGATGTCTATATATCGAAATTTTGCATTTAACTATTTCCTGATTGTTTTGAATAAAGCTCACCAAGAAACTTGGCAGCTACCGTTGTTTGGCTCAGTGACTCTGTTTCATCACGAGTGTCTTCTTGCCTTTAGTCCCCTACAATGGAGTCTGAATGGGATCTGATACTGTCTCCAAACACCACTGTTCTAGAGGGTCTCTGGCGAGACCAACTCATTGCTCGTCTAGCGGCTGAACAAATTGATGAAGTAAGTGAAGTCTGTGCCATCCAATGTGCTATTCGCTCTATTAAAAAACTTGCTTTTAGACAGCTGGAGTAATCATGTCACACATTTTGCGTCTCGCCGCTGCCTCCAAGGCGCATGCAGTTATCGATTCAGATCAATCAGAAACAGTCTCTCGTGAACAGGTACAATCTATTCCTCCATATACCGCTTTGTCATCTTTAACTCGCCCTATCAAAATGAAATAATCTCTTTCCTTAAAGATTAGCCAGAGTTTTGGCTCTCTTCCCGAACATTTCGAATCTTACTTAAGACTTCTTCTGGACGATCCAGTAAGTTTTGAGTCATCACGCATATCTACTGTCGTCGCATCGATTGTAGAACTAATCCGCCTTATCTCTTTCATCTTTTCAGATGTCTTTGCTAGAGGAGAAGGCTGGTATTGCGGGTGGAATGTATGTTTGCCGTAAGTTTAGAAATATAGCGCTTAGATTTTTTGTCTCACACACAGTAAAACTTTCCATTATTGCTTCAGGCTACAAAAAGGTGTTCAGAAGCATGCTGATCCGCCAAGCTGAGAATTTGATTCAAATCCTGTGAGTTCTTACACCATAATGTGTGTGTATATACCGATGTAAGCTCTAACGCCAAATGCTTTTTATATAATGTAGGTATGAAAATGCCGGCCTTCGAATCTTCAGACTTCTTTTGGACGAAGGTTTTCACACTTGGGAAAGCGTAGGCATTGATTTTTTTATATTACCCACCAAAAATTCTTCCAAAGTGTTGTATTTTACTTCTTGTATTTTCTGTATAGATGGAAAATCGGTTACTTATTCCTCAAACAGATTTCCGCAAAACGCTTCCCCAAATGCTCGCCAGCGGCTTCGTTATATCTAAGGCGAGTGGTTTATAATTTTTAATATATGAATGATTATCTTTTATAGTCTAGTTAGTGCTGTTCATCCTCCTTCATGTTCTAATGTATAAATAAACACTAATAATTGTTCTCATTCCGCAAGTGGGAATTTACTGTCTTTACGTAGGCATTTCTGTAGCGTTTTATATATCAACTTTAGCAGCTTGGCCAGCCTCTCACAAAAGTAATGATTTACCTTTTCAAATCAAAGGATTAATCAATAAGTTGGACCTCGTGTGTATATTATGTGAATGGTAAAGATCGATTGAGTGAGGGATATTTGGGAGAATTGGAGGACTGATAAAAATGCGGCTGTTCAACGTGAATTGGTTTGGTTTTTTGATAGGAGCGCCAAGTTACTATACGATGAGCAGCCTATAAAGATCATCTGACATTCTGAGTAGAGGAGATTTGTGAATCAGCATGTGCGTCCGAACTGTACTGCAAATCTTCTTTTCTATTTATTTTAATTATAAACTACGACAAATCTTCGGATTATGTTTATCAGCTTACTTCAGCTCAATAGAATCAAAATTCTCTGATTCCCTTGATCGAGTTTCATCGGAGAAATAATTGCATGTAAACAATGCCAATTTGCTACCTAATGTTTGTCTAAGTTTTCTATTATTTGGGATTCTTGATCCTTTAACGGCTCTTAATTTATAATGTCGATTTTATGCGTCTTTTAATTAATTGTCATAAATTAGCCCAACCACTACTGGTTAATCGTTTCTTACTGTTGCAGGAGTTCTCTAAAGCGAAGGAATTCAATGTAGACACTATAGTGAGCGTATTCAACATTGACCTCACAAAGATTGCTCGAGTGATTATTGAGTTTGCGCAGCATTGTGTTCGATGCCTCTCCTCGCGGTATGAAGCTGAACTTAGCTGTAAACGGTAGGTGCAAATCAACAGTTTATTATAAATTAGGTGTTCTGAGAGTTCTTTCTGAATATTTTAGCTTCAGGAACAATAAGCGGATGGGAAGGGGGGTGATAATCGTGGCTAGCTTTATTCTGATAAGAAACGGAGGTGTGCAAAGTATGCTTAGATTAGTTGGTTTAAACTTGAGACAAGCAAGATACCAACAATACTTCGTGAGAACAGATATAATGATGCTGGTAAACATTTATCCCTTGAGGTTTGGCCGTTATCTTTATTCCCACTCAGTTGATCTTCTCTCTTTAGTTTGAATTGGATGGCAATCGATTAATGAAATCACCCTAATTGTTCTTGTTCTTTCAGTTTCGAAAGAAAGTAATGCTTCATATTTTAAGTACAACTGTCCTAGTGCTGTTTGGCACGTACCTATGGAAAGTCAAGATATCCTTAAAGCATTTACTTTCATAACTTACAGTTGGGGTGAACTGCAGAACATTGGTTGTCGTCTTAGCAACAGTGTGACTGTTTAAAATATGGATTTAATATATAAATGCACATTCGACTATTGTTGGGATAGTTGAATTAGTTAGCATCTTCAAATGCATAGTTTCTCGTTTTGAACTCATTCGTTCCTACCTCGGTATTAAGTTGGCAAGATAGTTTCATTTCAAAAGAAAACTATTTGTAGTTTGTTCACTCTTGGATCGTGTTTACTGCATCCTATTTATTGAAATTCGCTCCCCCCCCCAGCCTTCGAACCAGGTTGTCTATGTAATAATAGAATTGCATTATTGCAAATAGGAAGATTTACCAATCTATTTGGGCTCTTGATGCTTTTCTACGTTACGTATCATGCTATAGTGTCTCCATAAATTTCCCTACTTTATTCTAGACGTCTAATTGATCAACGTTATCGCGTGGAGGGTTTGATAGATGACCACAAGGCGAAAATTGCGCGTTTGGAGAAGGGAGTAGAGGAAGCTACAGAGGATCAGGCAGAAGGATCAGAAAATTCGATGGATCCTCTTGAATCCCTCAAGGAGAGCGTTCAAGCTCTTCAAAACAGTCTTACACCGGCTGAAGTCAATCAACTCTCAATCCTTACCAATAAACTCTCAAAGTAAGTAATTTTATTTGTAAATCAAATTCCTTTTGTGTCATATTCTCCATAAGTGTTGTGTCAAACCGAAGAAGAGTGTTTCCAAGTCGACACCACTAAATGTATATTTAAACAAATAAAGTGGCTAAATATCTTATTATGCATATAAATTAGACAAGAGGACAAATACACTTATGACGAACTGTGAAAGCATCGAAAATTCCTCTGAGTCGACAAATCGCATTTTATTGCTCTTCTATTGATTATTGCTTTTGAGCACTACTGTCCACCAGCGGGTTTTGAACTTATGACCTCGTTTTTTGGCCTTATGGATGTTACCACTTTATCATTTGCACTCATTTGTATGTGCTCGAGTTGTGCGTCAAATAAGGGCCATTTTGCCATTTCCTATCCTTTATTCAAAATCGAAGCCTATCCTTTCTAGTTAGTTAATTTTCTTTTGATTTCAGACTTTCAAGTGCACGTTGGGAAGCCGAAACTGCTTGGTTTATTGCTGACATGTATCTGCGACTTCATCCTTTAGCAATGCCATGAAACAAGAATTTATTCCCACGATGATGCCCCTTTACTTCCGTTTTTTTGTAACATTATTACTCACTATTAAACAAGTAGATTTGTATCTATTTATATTACCAAGCCTCATCTATTATTGTATTTGACTTTAATATCGTATTAAAAATATGAGTAATAGCACAATTTGTCATCAATAAAATGGTGGAAGGAGGATAGAGAAGGGTACAGAGGTAGGTCGTGAGGCCTGTGGCTTTATTTCCATAGCTCAATTAGATCTAATATTTCTTTAAACAAATAGTGAACGAGGTGAGAACATGAGCAGTATTGATATCTCATACGCAGTAGGTCAATTTGCCGATAGTTTATTGATGAGTGACACTGATTGATTATTTCTCTTGTACGATATGCGGCTGCAGCCTATTTGCCTATTTGCACCCATTCTTGGACTTGAAGAACAACAAGGCGTTGTAAGCATTAGAAACAGGCAAAAGTCAGGCAGATTTAGGTAGGAGTCGATCGAATTTTCAGCAACACAGGCGGAACCAATTTGATTTCATGCACAAATTGGAATGGGATCTGCATTAATTGAATGCTTCATTTAATGAAATAAATTCTCAAATTTTGTTGGGAGAACTCGCCGCTGCTCGGATTGCTTAAAAAACTACACCCAACGCAAACTCGGGATTATTATGTAAACTCAAGCAATCATTTTGGGATAAATAAAAGAAAGAAATCGTTTTCTTTCGTCTTCTCATGGGAAAGAATTTGCAGGTGAAGTCGGTTGCAGAACGAGCGCGATCAATAGTTGAGGGAATACCAGGTGAATGACACTTTGGAAAGTCAATAAACGTGAAGGTGAGTACAGGGGAATAATCGTTTGTGCCCACCACAAGTGAAAGGTTTACCCCACTAATCCGTAGAGAAGTTTAAGATTATCGGGAATGTAGCTGGAGAAGCAATCGCACTTTCAACCTCCCGACACGTTTTGTCAATCGAGAGTGCAAAACAATAAAGTGCCTCTCCTCTGGGCTTGGCAGTTTTCACTGAAAGTGATGAAAAGCGCTTCGCCACCCAGCGCTTGGAGGAGTCCTAAAAGAGTGCTATGTGGATATATATTTTTATAACAAATGGCAGGCGTTTTGATAGTTATCATTAGCCCTTTAGTTGACTTCGGGCTTTGCAGAGGGGAGGAGGAGCATCAAAGTGAGAAGAATTCGGGAGGGAGAATAGAAGAGTGAATCACAGATGCAAAAGAAACAGACAGACACAAAGGCTCGGAAAGGGTAAGATGAGTACTATGGTAGGGGTAGAATATGACATACAGTGGAGGTGATGGTTGTTTGAAGTGAGAAGTCAACTGCCGGTTAATAGACTTTTTTTGTCGTATGATTATATGTTGCCCAGGATGCACCACGAGGAAGTAAGTCTATCCCACACCCCAAGTGGATATATATATATA